ATGAATTTAATATGTAATAATAAATTAAATACGTAATTATTTTTAATTAAATAAGTTGCTAATATATAACTTGTAGTTTTGCTTTTTTTCAACTATTTTTTATTAAAAAATTAAAAAAAAAAGAAGTTTCCTTCTCCTTCAATTGGCACCATGAGCAATGCCACAACATTTTTTTTTTATTTTTTAAGATAATTTTATTTTTTTAGTTTTTAAATTTTTATTAAAAATAAATTATTTTTGTAAATCAAGTGGTATTTAAAATATGATTTTACCTACTCAAACTAATTGCATATCTAATTTGCTACTGTAAGAAACATCTGCTAATAATATTTAATATATGAGTTAATACATATATTTTTTTAAAATAAAAAATTAAAAAGTAAAAAATTAATACATAGAATATTTATGAATCTAAATTTGTAACAATACAAATCCTAATTTACTCTTTTAAATGTTAATTTTTCCAGCCGTACGATCTTGTTAAATTGAATCCGAACAGCTCGGATCGCATTGTATGAGCACGATCCAACGACTCTTAATCAAAGGCGATCGAGCGGTCCAAATTCAATTTTGCAAGATCAAACAATTGGAAAAATTAACATTTAAATGAGCAAATTAGCATTTCAGAAGAGAAAGAATAACCATAATAGTTATTAGATGTGTAGAACTCGTAAAGGTGTTCAAGTTTATATATATTTTCTTCATATTCTAGAGATTATCGTATTATTTTTTAAATTTTATATTTTGATTTTATATTATGTGTATATAAATATTATTAATATCGTATAAAATGTTAGATTTTATGTTAAATTGTTGAATTATGCACGTACATGTTTTCTAAGCTTATTTGATAAGAATGATATGAATAGGGTTGCGCTTTATTATTGGAGTTCGGGGTGTTACAAAACTAAATTATATTATAATGATTAAAAATTATATTGTATAAAATTTAATGTGAATCGGAACATTTTCAAGTTTAATTGATATTTTTTGAATAAAGAATTTTTATCATCATCTTCTAGTTAAATAAATTGTGAATTTTACAAATGAATTTCACAAAAAATTTTAATTTATTATATGCATAGTTTTAATATAATTACAAAGAAACGCATATCATTAGTTGGACTTTATGATTATTATTTTAAATACATAAATATTATAAGAAACGTGCAAAGAGTACAAAATAAATTATTATTTTTGCAAAGAATGTGGTAATCAGGTGCACTTATTTTCAAGTTTAATATTATAATAATTGAAGTGCACTTATTTTTTGGTTTTATGCACTTTTTTCTTTTACTCTAAAGTTTTGGTAAATGCACTTCAATTATTATTTCAAATATTGTTGGATGCACTTTTTTGTACATGATATATAAAGCCCACCAGGCCCATTAGAACAGCCCATTGAAAAAGGTCATTAGCTAAATGGGCTTGTCCCGACAAGTACTAACATCGATACATATTATATAATATGATAATTAATGTATCAACTTTACCTTAATTATAATCTTTCCCAAATTTTATATTAAAAAAGTTAACTTTATCATATCAAAGAATATTTATTTTTGAAGCATCATTATTTATTATATTTTATTATTTGATAATTATATAATACGTATCAAGTGCTGAAGTGGGCAATTTGGTAATTTCACACAAGTGCCCCACAGATGGCAACTTCCTGGTTAGTGTTGCCACGTCATCACCCAACTACGTGCATTTAAATCAAACATTTGGGCGACGGTCTCTCCTTTCTATAAACATCCACAAATATACCAACTCTTTTCATTTCCTTCCATCTCTCTCTCTCTCTCTCTCTCTCTCCTCCGGCGACGACTCTCAATTATCGGTCAAATTTTTCGCCGGAACCTCAACACGTCTCTTGTTGCTTCCCCAAAGTCTTCTCAATCAATCGATCCAAACGCCGCATACAACCATGAACCCTGAATAGTAAGCTTCGATTTGCCCTTTAATTTGTATTGTCACTTCTGGCTAATTCCTTTGCTTTTTTTTTTTTTCTCTTGCTAGTTTTTGAGTATCGTTTTGGTTTCGATTTGATATGTCGGGATCTGCGGTGGTTGTTCGCAATTTTTTTTTTTTTTTAAAAAAAAGATGTCGGTGGCTGGTTTGGTTTTGTTCGCTTTGGGGAATTATTTTTGAAGTTATTATTTACTTTTTTTTTGTGTGGGTTATTCCATTGGTTATAAATGATCGTTTTGATTGGTCAGATCTAGGCAGTTCGATTTAGATCGCTGACCGGAGTTTAATTTTGATACGGCGATGTGATTATTGATAAGCAATTACATATTTATAGGTATTATTGAATTTCGTTTGTTTTTAAGTTTTCCGTGGATGGAGTGGTAACTATTTATGGGAATTGAAGATTTGGTTTTAAGATTTTAGTGATAATTTGAAAAGAATTTGTTAGCAGATTTGCTTAGTCGGCTCATTATTCAACCAGAAGAATAGAGTATTTGATTGAGTTTTTGGACCAAACTGCCATAAGTAATTGATTGCGTAGTCATTTTATATGTGCTAAATCATATATGTTGGTTGGATTTATTTTTTATGCGCTTATTCTATTTTCTGGGTGTGTTTGTAGGAGTCACTTTGGTCTTTTTGAGTACACATCTCGCACGACCCTTGGATCTGTTTTTGTATTTCTTGATTCTCTGAATATCTTAACTGAATGTTGTCATAGTTGTGGCCACTGTTTACAGAATTCTTGGTGTGGAATACTTGATGACAACATAATGTAAGGTTCTGTTGATTCTCTCTGTTTTCATTTTTGCAGTGATTATTTGTTTAAGCTTTTGCTCATTGGAGATTCTGGTGTTGGAAAATCATGTTTGCTTCTGAGGTTTGCTGTAAGTTCCTACTGCTTTTTTTTATCTTGGAAATCATCCTTGCAAATTAGCCCTAAAGTCTTGTTGCAAGTTAGGACTGAATTAGGCATTAACTTGACTTGAAATATGTGTGTTACCTAATTGTAACAAAAGACTGTTCAATGCCAATTTGTAGTGCTGAATATAGTTCGGGATTAAGAGATTAAGATAGTGATTATCCAAAGTAATTTATACAAGTTCAGAATTAATATATAATTCAACATGTTCCAATATTAAGAAATATTGGATTGGAAAAGTCGTTTAACTATTTGAAATATTTTATAGTTTGAAAAATAGAGTAATATGTTTGCTTGTGATTCTGATTATTTGCTTATAATGTAGTAGCATGTCTCAATCAAACTAGAAACGTAAAAAGTAATTGAAAATATTCTCCACTCCCTACTCCCTCATCCTCGAGCTCTCTTCTGCTCTTTTTATTTTTGATGTACTTGTGGCTAGTTGTGTCCATATGCTGCAGTCAAACACTTGGCTAATCCTAGGTTAAGTCATGTCTGTATGTTGTCTGAATAGCCGATGTCTAATCAAGCAGCATTGTGTGAAATTTAGCTTATATCTCTCCAACCTGGGCCAGAATCCAAGTCCACCTATTAATTATTATTATTTGATTTTTCACGATAATAGTTCCTCATAATTAGGCCTTTTCATGGGTTTGGCCGGGTTTTCCTTTCTATATTAATTGGTTTTTCTAGTTTCCAGGCACGGCCCAAAAAGTTACGTCTCATTCTTGTTACCATTTCTGAAAATAATTATAATACAGAAAATGATTTCTTTTTTAATTAATTGCCATAATCAATGGCAAAACTGTTTATTATGTCTATTCTGACATATATATGTGTGTGTGTGTCTATAAGTATATGTAGGGTCTGGTTGGATTGGACTTTAAAATAAAATTACCAAGCCAAGCCCAAATTTTGATTGGCCTAAAAGCTATATACATATTTATCTGGTCCACAAATATATTGGGATTTTAAGTTAGCATGGATCATCAGGCTAATGGGTATATTTGCTTGGGAAAGTTATAATGATTAAACATTTGCAATAGAGAAAGGACTTGGGATGGCTGTTCCAGGTCTATTAATGCAAACCAAATTCTCATAAGCACTTATTACTAAGATTGTGATGTAACTGCTTTTGGATTTTTCTTGCTAGAGAGAATATAGTAACATTTGTTATTTTCTGCAAAACAGGATGATTCATATCTGGATAGCTACATCAGCACCATTGGAGTTGACTTTGTAAGTCATGAGTGCAAGTTGTTCTTGTTATACTATCTATACTATAAGTACATCGAAGTAATTCTCTATTATATGCTATTTTGCAGAAAATCCGGACAGTTGAACAAGACGGGAAAACCATCAAGCTTCAAATTGTAAGTTTCTGAATTCTGTTTTCCTTGCTCGCTTTGCCAGGATTTAAATAAAAATTGGGGGTAGAGTTTTTTAAATAAAGTTCGATTCCTATTTTTTGAAGAATGCAGCGAGAAGCTCCAGTTTTATATATATATATTTCTCCGGTTATATTAGTAACAAATGGATTTATAGTAATTGTGAATTCATTTGTAAATTTTTTTTAAATATCTGAATAGTTACAAGCATAGGAACTCAAAACTCCAGATCAATTCTAAGTGCAAAAAGTAACTCATTCCAATTTCCATCAAGATTTTTGAATTTGGAAATGAGTGGTGGTATCTTGAAAGAGAAGTAGCCATGAACGATAAACATATATCTTACAACACCCAAAAAAAAAAAAAGATCAAAATGTTATGACACTATAGAGATTTACTAAAGAAAGCTATTGAATTCGATAAATCTTTTATGGTTTATGATTTCCTCCAAATATAAGTTTTCAGTTACAAATGAATTCTTTATGGAATTCATTATTTATCTGGAAATGGAATAAATTGTTGATTTGACCAAATGCGAAATGAGAGTGAACATTATATTTTCTGCTCAATATTCCATTTGTTTCGGAAGTATTATCTATTTTACTTTTTTGATAGTTGGTCTTCTTGTCTCTGCAGTGGGACACTGCAGGCCAAGAACGTTTTAGGACAATCACTAGCAGCTACTACCGTGGAGCTCATGGCATCATTGTAAGTTCTGCATTTCTATTTTCTGCTTCTTAGCTTTTTCATGTTAAAAGGTGGTTTCTCATAGTGACTTGTTGCATAGGTTGTATATGATGTCACCGACCAAGAAAGCTTCAACAATGTCAAGCAATGGTTGAACGAAATTGACCGCTATGCCAGTGAAAATGTGAACAAGCTTCTAGTCGGGAACAAATGTGACCTTACATCCCAAAAAGTTGTATCCTATGAGACTGCTAAGGTAAAATTACATGACCATGTTCCTTATTGGGTATCTGTTAAAAAGGATTTTTTCTCTTAGCTCTCCCCATTTTTCAGGCATTTGCGGATGAAATTGGAATACCCTTCATGGAAACCAGTGCCAAAAATGCCACAAATGTTGAGCAGGCTTTCATGGCCATGGCTGCAGAGATCAAGAATAGGTATTCTGTACTATTGGTTGCATTTTCACTGTTTAAAATGGGAAGCAAAAGTGATATAGAAATGTCTAGGCTTTCAAAAGGATGCTTTCACATTTGAAATGAGGGTGGCTCTTGTTCTTAAATATTATGGTTTGTGTATGCAGGATGGCAAGTCAACCAGCCATGAATGCCAGGCCGCCAACAGTGCAAATTCGTGGACAACCTGTCAACCAAAAGAGTGGCTGCTGCTCCTCGTAAAGTGGATTAGTGTTTGTGGGCCATGACATTTATATGCGTTCTTTGTGGGATGTAAAACTAGTTATATTTCTTACTGGTTTGGCCAGAAGGAGTATTGTGATTTGCTCATGTCAGATATGTCATCTCTTTGCTAAAAATTTTATTCTTTTCAATGTATTTCATTCTTAAAAACATTAAGCATTTCTATAAAGTAGGAATATCCGTTAATAGCATTATTTGATTTATTCTGTCTTCTTCCCTTGGATGCATGCAAAATCTTCGTTGCCATGTAGTATCATCATGGCTGAACGAACAAACATGACTTGGTCTATCCTCTAGTTGGGGGCGGAAAGGCTCCTCTGGGATGTGGATGCAAAGCTTTGTCTCTACTCATCCTCTTTTTATGAACCTCTGCTGGTTATTAAAGGAAACAATAAAAAAACTACAAAAGCCATGTCTTTGTATTCAATTGATCTTGTCAATGAATGTCCATGGAGCAGAGATTGCCATCCTGCATATTTCTGGCTCTACTGTTGTCAGATCAGAAAATGAAGAAGGAAAAGTAATCACGCCCAATTCAAGATTAGATTCATGCATTGTTTCTTGTTGAAGTCTCTAGTATGAACCACAATTTGCTCAAATCTCAATTCATCCAGTGCATTTGCTTGTTGGCCTTGTGGTAATGCCATATAAATATAGTTCCTTCCTTACACGATAATTGCTTTATTTAGCAAGTACTGGATCCAGTATAAAAATGGTTGAGTGGCGGTTATTCAATCACAGACTGGATCTCTAACTTAAGTAGTGCACTCGTCTGATCAAAAGATCATCTCGCTAGCTCTCAGAATTTTGTCTCCTATCATCCAAATGTGGAAACTATGGATTGAAATCAGTAGACTATGGTGGCGTCCTGGTTAACTACAAGCCTAATTTAATTTGCGTACTCGGGAATCAGTTGACTATCCTCCTCAGTGCAAACAACAAATCAAAAGTTCTTTCTTTCTTTATAAGAGTGCCATAAAAGTGTTATATATCAGCACCTATAGAGTGCAATCCTTATACAAAAATCGTACAAATCAGTCAAAAAAATATCAACCAGAACTCTAAGATTATTGTAGGTATATGAAAAATTCAGGGTTTGGAACTATAAATCCTTGAACCTAAAATTTCATGCTCTCAAAGGTCTTTCTATTCTTCTTTTTCCAGACAACCCATAAAGTGGCAAGAGGAATAAAAGATATACTCTAGTTATAAAGTTCATCCTTTTTTATGCCTCTCCATGCCTAGATCTCCTCTTTAATCAATCCAGTCACTATCAATCGACCCCCAAAAGGCTGTAAGCTACAGACCCCATTTGATATGAAAAAGGACACCAAAGGAGAAGGTAGTTCATCAATTCTGCATTACCCTAATCAAATTATCAATGATTAGGATGCAATCTCTTGTTGCTTCCCATGTAAAAGAGACCACTCTTGCAGGAGCATTAATCTTCAAAATAAGTTTACATGGAAAATTCCCGACAGCTCTTCCAATCTTTGGTTAGACGGAGGTACTAGGATTTCACTGAAAGGACCCCTAGCCATCCTTGGCCTTATTTGCTCTTTCACAGTGGAACCTAATCATTTAGGTTTCTTGTTGGCTCCACCACCCAAGCGCCATTTCCCATGGTATTAGGAAAAGAAATTTGCCACCATTGCCACTTAGTTCTATACTAGGGAAAAAGTTGTAGGAAAGCATTTAGCTAATGCTTCTCCCTAATCCAATCTTCTAACAAAAAACTCACTCTGTTCCTGATCCAATCTTCTATCAGATATATCGCTGGATATTCTCCTTGCCTGATATTACCTTCTTCCATAATCCAACTCCATATGTCTGTCTAGTGTTTTTAGACAACATTCCTGACTTTCTAATCCAAACTTTCTTTGATCACATTCCTTTATAGACTGTTTTGTTCCTTCATGAGTCTCTTTATCTATTTGTCTTATAATGCCTTGTTGAACTTGACTATTGATCTGATTCCAAGACTCCCTTCCTTAATTGGGTGTTTAACAACATCCCAAGTCACCAAATAGTTCCTTTTCTCATTATGGTCTCCCCATAGGAAATGTCATTGAACAGTCTCCAATTTTTTTACCACTCTCAAGGCAAAAGTGACTAGAGACATGTAGTAAATTGGTAAGTGTTGCCATGATACTGTTAATGAGTGTCAATCTTCTTCCCTTCAAGCGATAATTTCTCTTCCATCCCTCAAGCCTCGACTCAAATCTATTCACAATCGGAAGCCATACATGGACACTTTGTATTTGGCTCCAAGTGGCAATTCTAGGTATTTAAGAGAAAACTTTTGTGACTTTGCACCCTAGAATCCTGGCCAGAAGAATCGAGTCCCCTCATTGGCTTGTGGGTACTAGTTTAGACTTAACAACAAATTCAAAAGTTATAGAGAAAAACCTCATCAGTAGTCACCACAAGAGCGACACCCATCCTTGAAATGGTGAAACCTTTGTAGTATCTCTCAAAATGATTTCTCTTCTTTCTATCAGAGAGATGTATTCAATGGCAAGGTGACAATCCCCACAAACTCTCAAGTTTTTGAACACTCAGATTGGAATTCTCAGTGGCATCTTCATCAGCCCGAGAGCAATGGCCAGCTTTTCACTATGTCATATCAGAAGCTGCTCTTTCTGCTCTTTTCCTACATCATGCATATTCGAGATCAGGAACATAACCTGCTATCTTCATTTTCTTCGCAAGCTCCTTGAGTTTTTCATGCATAGGAGCTAGTTTGCATGAATTCTATCAACTGATCTGAACTCATGTTCTACACTCCCTACCTCAATCCAACTATAACCAGGTGTCTTGACAATCCTATTTTCTTTCATTGCTTTATGAACCTTGGCAACATCGTCCCATCTGTTCATTGCTGCATAAACATTAGCAAGTTGGACATAACCAACTGCACTAGTTGGATCAAGATTAAGTAAGCTCTTGGCAGCATACTCTGCCACCTCTAAGTTCTTGTGAATTCTACAAGCACCCAAAAGGGTTCCAAATATAGCAGGACGTGGTTTGAAAGGCATCTTCTTTATCAAATCTATAGCTTCTAACAGCTTACCTGCTCTACCTAGAAGGTCAACCATACAAGTATAGTGATCTGGTCTAGCTTCGACTCCATAATCCCTTACCATCAAATCAAAATACTGAATCCCAAGGTTTGCTAGTCCAGCATGGTTGCAAGCCAACAACACCGCAACAAAACTGATCCAGTCAGGTTTTAATCCTTTATCCCTCATCTCATCAAACAGACGAATGGCCCTTTCACCTTCACCATGTTGAGCATAACCAGATATCATCGCATTCCAAGTGACTGTGTCTTTTACTGGCATCTCCATAAACAACTTCCAAGCATCTCCTATGTTTCCGCACTTGCAATACATACTGATCAAAGAAGTACCTGCAGTCGTATCATGCAAAAGGGAGATTTATAAACCACCTGATGAACCTGCTTTCCTAACTGCAATGCAGATAGTTCACTACATCCCAACAAAACACTGCTCAAACTCGATGAGTTTGGCCTAATACCACATGCCAACATCGCCCTGAAAAGCTTCAAACCATTTTCAGCTTGATAATTCTCAACATAACCTGCAATCATGGCGTTCCATGTAACCAAATTCTTCACGGGTATGTCTCGAAACAACCTCTCTGCTGACTCAACTTTCCCAAACTTCATGTAGCCATTAATCATTGCCGTCCATGTTACCACACTCTTAACTGGTGCGACCTCAAATAACTCAGCAGCCATATCCAGTTTCCCACATTCAACATAACCAGAAATCATTGCGCTCCACGTAACACTATTTTTATCTGGCATTGCCATAAACAACTGCCGCGCTTCAATCATCTTTCCTTTACGGGCAAAACCCGAAATCATTGTGTTCCACGAAGCAGTATCCTTCACGGGCATTCGATTAAAGAAAGATCGAGCCGTTTCCACGTCAGAACTTCGTAAGTAGCAAGATAACATGATGTTATAAGAAACAATATCTGGTTCAGGAATTTTACCAAACAGTTCCTGGGCTTCGCTAGTTTTGCCAGGCTCTTTTGAAATCCCCGCTAAAATTGAATTCCACGTGACTGTAGTTTTGACGGTCATTCCATTGAATACACCAAGGGCAGAATCTAAATCACCTGAACGAACATACCTAGTGATGATTTTATTTGACGAAATGACATCGCTGAATGTACTTGTCCGAGAGAATGTAGACGACCTGTTGAAAAGATGGGTGATTCCGATTTCCTCGGTTGATGAAGGGGAGGGCTGATTGGGAGGAATTGCATAGTTGTTTGATTTGCCATCTGGGTTTTGGACCGTGAAGGTCGATAGAAGTATGTAGTGTTTGGTTGGCGAGAAAATTTTGAAAAAAGGCACAGAATTTCTAAGAGAGAGAAGCATTTGGCATGGGCTGCTGCTTGGCTTCATCTCCTTTAATTGATAACCTTTCTCATGAACTGCCAAGCAGCTAAACCCATTCTCAAGTACCGCGGTTGATTACTGCCGGTGAATCTTGCATTTAAAATAAAATGACGAAAATGATCAATTTAAGTGAAAATTATTCCATTAAATATCAAAGAAGATTAATTTTTATGAGTTTTTGGTTGGAAACTAAGTTCATCCGATCCCGAACAATGATAAATTTCTGGTATTATTTTACATTTTTTTTATTGATATGATCATTGTTTTCCCAACCACTGAGTAAATTTCTGATATTATTTTTCTAAAAAATTTATTACGGACAAAAGCAATTTCGACAATTGTCTTTGTTAGTTAAATTAATGAGTTGGTGAAAATGTTATTAATATTTTCAAATATTTCATTTAGGATCTGAATTATGTTTAGATTTTTTAATTTTATTTTTTAAGTAGTAACTTGGTCAGAAAATAATTAGTAATTTTGCAAGTTGGGTTAAAGACAAGTTTAGTAAAATAAAGAAATTTGTCATTTACAGCAGCCGAAACTGTAAAAAAAAAAAAAAAAGTTTTATCTTTTTCTGTTTCTTTTATTTAGCATTGAGTTGTAAGAGCATGATAGATAGAAACAAGAAGAAGATTGAAGAACAAGGAGCCCTTAGTGGCTGAGATATATACATATATATACTTTGAACTTAGGGTTACATTATATATTTGCTCTTATTATTTTGGGTGGTGGGAGTTTTCACAGTTTTTTTTTAATTAAAATTTTTTTTATATTTTTTTCTTAAATTTAATTGATAGAAAAATAATATTTTATTTTTAATTATCCTTAAATTTATTTTTTTACGCATATTTATTACTTATTTTTTTTTAACTGTTAAAAACAGATAATAAAAATGCTTTTTAAAATTTACTAACATAATTTTTTTAAAAATTAAAAACAGCAACTAATTTTTAATTAATATTGAAAAACTATATCCTTATTAGTTGTATTGAAAATTTTTAATAGAAAATGTAAAGCACCTACAAATTTTGGCTAATAAAATATTAACTAAATGGTGCTTATGATAAACGCGTCCGCACCGAAATATTCCCCAATAGGGTTTTTAAGATTAGGCTTTGCTTCACTTTCGCTCTCTGCCGCATTGGCTAGGTTTTTTTCTTACCATCTCATCTCTCGGCTCTCTATTTTGCAGTTTCCCCTTCATTGCAGCTCCACTTCCCGAGCTTCCAAACTCACTTCTCCCCCCAAACATCTCTACTTTATTAACTTGCGTAAGCCTCAGATCCATTACCTCATGGCTCTTAAAAGGCAGTAGCTTTTCTGGGTTGATATTATCTCCTTCGATACTCGAAAGCTAGGGTTTTCATCTTAGTTCGCGTGTTTTAAGAGCATCAAAACAGGAATGGCGACGATGAACCCTTTTGGTCTCTTGGGTGACGATGACACTGAGGACCCAACTCAGTTCATCGCTGCTCAGCAGCAGAAACTTGAGAAGCCCAAGAAACCAACACCGGCTCAAGGTCAGCCTCAGCCAACTAAGCCGGCTAAGCTCCCCTCCAAGCCTCTTCCTCCGGCTCAAGCTGGTGAGTTTTCATATATGCATTGGTTTTGAAAACAATGAATATTCTATTTTTGCGTTATTTTTTGGTCATTTTCAACGGATTGGCGTAGGGGTTTTTCTGTTCGGTCAATTAGCTAATAGGAAAATAAGTGGAAAGTGGAGAAAAGATGTTTTGTATTGTTTTTGTGTCCTTGCAGTTGCTTATCAATTTCATTTACCGATCTTGAGTGATAGGTGTGCGTCTGTTTCCTTTTAACATTTTTAGGCTGTTAAGAAAATGGAGTAAAAAAAAAATGAAATCTGCGAACTTCATGGTTTAAGAAAAAGCTGTTCCGTTTATCTTGTTTGTAAGTCTGGTGTTGGCTTTGTCACAAACTCGTTGGTAATATTTTGTTTACAAATCTGTTGGTTGAAGCTCTAAGTGGGTTTTATATCATAATTTTTATAGGAAGTTAAAGAACATAACTTTGAAAAGTATGTGAATATACCTGTTTTCACAGGGTTGTTATAGTTTTCCATTATGTAATTGTTGTTTAAAATGTTAGCTATTTTCAATGAGTTTTTTTGGCTTTTTAAACTCCCAAGTTAGTCTTACTAGCAAAATTTATTGGGCATTAGGAACTTAGCCTAATATTTTATACATTTATTGGAAGTTTTCTTTTAACCACCCATATCAAGAAAAATTTTTCTTTTTTTTTTATTTGTGATCTCTTTTGTTGGGTACTTGAGTAAGTAGAGAGGATACATGCAAGATAGAGCACTCAAAAAAGCAATGATGTTTCCCTTTGCTCACCGCTGGCCAACCTGCCTTATACTGTTTTATGTAGTCCATCAAGTTATGCAAACTGCTATTTATGTTTGTTAACTCTTCAGTGCTGTTTGATATTTGTTGGGAATACTGAATTTTTTGTTGGCATTAGAGGAATACTGCTTCTCTTAGTTTCCTCTTTGAGGCCTTTTAACTACTTTTACCCGAAATTGTACGCTTGATACTATCATATCTTTACTTTGGGTAGTGAGAGAGGCAAAGACTGAAGTAGGACGTGGAGGGGGCCGTGGTGAAGGACGTGGCTATGGCCGTGGTCGCGGTAGTGGTGGATTTAATCGTGATGCAAGCAACAACGAATCTGTTGGCAACAATGGATTCACAGGAGGGTACAGGCCTTCTGAAGAAGGGGATGCAGGGAAAGCCCCCGAAAGGCGTGGATATGGTGGTCCTCGAGGTTCATTCCGAGGGGGTCGGCGTGGTGGCTTCAGTAATGGAGAATCTGGAGAAGGGGAACGCCCTCGCAGGATATATGAGCGGCGCAGTGGAACAGGACGAGGGTTAGTTCGTTTAACTTGATATGCTTTCTTTCATGTGAAATGCCTTTGTCTTGTCTTGCATTACTAGGTTTTATTAGTTTGCTTCAATTATTCATCCATTGTGTTTCTAGGAATGATATTAAACGTGATGGGGCTGGTCGCGGGAATTGGGGAACTCCAAGTGATGAAATTGCTTTGTAAGCATATATGTTGCCACTCAAAAGCGGTTTTTAAAATTAAGATTAATCTACTGATATGTTCTCTCTTTAACATGTGAAAAGCCTAATATATGTGTTTTTTTTTGTCCAAAACAAGGGAGACTGAAGAACCTGCTGGTGAGAATGAAAAGAATGTGAATGCTGAGAAGCAGCCAGGAGCTGAAGAAGCTACAGATGCAAATAAGGAAAGCCCTGTCAGCGAGCCAGAAGAGAAAGAGCCTGAGGATAAGGTAAATTTTAGTATTCAAAAGTGAGGCCTTTTCTTCCTCAAACTTTAGCTTTGCAGGTTATGGCACAGTTGGGATAATCTACTAGTCTTGGAAACAATATCCATAATGAGCTAAAACTCCTGTTATTAGTTCTTGGTAGTGTGGCACCATCCATTCAGCTGATAGCATTCTCTTAATCAATAAGCATGTTTGTGTGAGCTGTGTTTTTGGTCGTGAGCTGTTCTTTGTTGAATACAACTAATATCAAGGCTGAATTATCTGCACATGCAGGCTGCTTGTTCTTCAGGCCTTTTTTTTTTATTTTTAGTAAAAGCGGCTGTTAATTCTGCCCATCAGTTGAAAAGAAAAATAAAAAATAGAAATGAAGCTGTGAATAATAATGTGGAAACCTAAATTGATATCATAAATTTATTTGGAAATCATATAATTTTGTGGTCTGAGCATCTTTGGAGTTTCTTCTAACTAATATGTCATGATAATTTGCAACTGGTCATGGTTTGTTTTGATTTCTGCTTTTAGATGTCATAACTGCTTTCTGTTGATCAATTTTTGCAAGCCTGTTTTTTTCATATGCTTGCATTTGTGAAGGAGATGACTTTGGAAGAGTATGAGAAAATACGTGAAGAGAAGAGGAAAGCTTTGCTTGCCCTAAAGGCTGAGGAGAGGAAAGTTGGCTTGGACAAAGACTTTGAGTCCATGCAACAACTTTCAAATAAAAAGAGCAGTGATGATGTTTTCATCAAACTGGTAAGACCTCCTGAAATTTGTTGCATTTAATTCATTAGATAGCATGATATGGATATTATGAAATGTGTCAATTTGTTGTTAGGGTTCTGAAAAGGACAAGCGCAAAGATGCTGCTGAAAAAGAAGAGAAAGCAAAGAAGGTTTTTCATCTTTTGTCTACCTGGTTTATTAGTTGTATTTTGACTTTTTTTAGTGGTGCTGGTTTTGTTTCTGGATAGTTATCATTTTTGTTTTCCCAAAATCATTTATTAGTTGTGAAATGGGTGTGCATGTGACCACAGTGCATGCATGAGTGCATTCAGCTACTGTCTATTTTTTTTTCTCTCTGTATGTGTA